AGCAGCAGCGGATGGCATTCCTTTCATATCACCACAAACTCAGAGAGAGAAATACGATTTAGGATGTGCTCACCATATGAGCTTGAAGCACTGAATAATTTAGTGTTAGGGGAAGTTTTGTGAAGTCATTTTTGCAATAACCAGGCACAGTGGGTGAACTTCACCTCGCTCTCCTTTACCCCTTACTCCCATTCAATCTACCTGATTAATAGCTAAAACTGATGTACATAAGGAAGGACTGTTGAATTACATTCTCTTTTTTTCATCTGGCTTTGTTATAGAAAATGTGTCAGTCACTTGTGGTTAAAGCTTACAATTTTATTACATAGTATTACATAGGAAATTTACAATTTAGACTCACTCAATTCCAGCAACTAAAATTTGGAACTATACCTTGAAATGACAGCATGCAGAAAACGTTAACTTGGTGCTTTTGGAGTAATTTTCTTTGGGCCCAGCAATTTACTTTTACGTTTGATAATGGGAGCCACAAAGCTTGGTTTTGGTCTAAAGGGTCACCTGTTGGAAGCATTCAAAAGAACATTCAAGCTCACTCGCTCTCCCACATGGATAAACAATTGCCCATTGCATGTTTGCTAACTAAGTACATCATCATGATAAATACTGTTCTCTATGTACAGCTGGTCTTTCTGAAGTGCATGAAATAAACCAACGACAGAATAGACACATTCAGGATGGAAGAGATTTATTAGTCCAAGCCTGCCAGTGCAGGATTTCCTTTACCATGCAGTTACTGCATTTTTAAAACACAGCTTCTGAAATAAGGCTTCCATTACTTCCCCAAAGAGACTTCTTGATCATTACAGAACTAAAGACATTTTTTCTGTCATTGATCCTATATTTTCCCATTTATTTTGATACTGTTACCCCAACTGACCAACTTTCACATCATGAGATCTATTTCCTCTCTGCTTTTCCACATACAAATCACTCACTGGGCAGGTGATGTGAATGCTCCTTTTCTTTTATTGGACTTTGGGCTGTTCCCAACACTACACCACTGTATAATCTCCTGGTGTACTTGCAACTTCAATATCGCACACAAGCCCCGCTGCCCTTTACATAAAAATCACATTGCTTACTTTCAATATGTACAGAGACAGTTAAAAAGGATAAGTTGAGGTACGGAGCAATTGAGCCTGTCCTCCAAATAAGAAGGCACGAGTAGAGAGAGGGAGTTGGGAAAATAGGTATTAGAGAGGAGAGGTTAGACATGAAAGAGACCTTGAAAACTGTTAATACAGAAGCTGAAAAGGGAGCAGTTATTACTTTCTCACTATACAAGGACATGGAAACCCTTATCCAACTGACTTAAACCAAGGCTTAAACATAGGAAGAAGATATGTTTTCCACATAAGACAAGATTTGGCATTCACCACCATAAAGAAGTCAAAAAATAGACTACAGGTTGACGTGTCATCTATTATTCATAGCTTTTCTTACAAGATTTAAGTCTTAGAAAGTCAACAGTAGATTGGCAGAAGGTGAAAGGTGTACCCTGGAAAGCAGCTCTGTACAGTTTCTTAGGCTTTTCCTTAGAATCTGCCACTAACCACTGTCAGAGAAAGAACACCAAGGCAGGCAAATCTCTGATCTGATCTGCTTTGGTTGTTTGATGAGGAACCAATGGAAAAGAGTCATTCTTGTTGACTGGGGAACAGGATGGAGACCAGAAAGCATTAGTTTTAATGTGCAGGTTTGTGTTGTTTTTTTTTTCCCTAATTAAAACAAATTAAAATGTACTAACTCTAAGAGAGAAGATGTCATAAAGATGTAGTTTGGCCAAAATGGCATGAAGATGTATTTTAGAAAGACATTGTGAGGAAGAAGTCCTACTCAACCATGAAATATTACAGTAAGATTAAATAGACAGAATCACTACAACGCAAGCACTAACAAGGCTGTAATAAGTCTGTGGTGGGTTACATATACCATATTTAGTTAACTAACATACATACTAACTAAGGGAAATAAAAGGTATGAAAGAGTACCTTTTTCAAGACACTCCCCAAAACATCTTACCTTATACAAACCTAATCCCCCAAAACATTGACCAGGTACAAAAGTCTTTGCTAGAAGAGGTGTTAGAATGTTAACCTAAAGTATACCATGCAGACCAGAAGTCCTCAAGGTGAGGTATACAATTTGCTTTTGAGAAATTATGTCTACACACACACAGAATAAGGAGGACAAGGATGGTGACAGCAAAATTGGCCTTGCTTGTTTAACTGACTGACAGGTAGGTATTCTACTGCTGTACATGTAAAATGCTTATCAGCTGCTAGGACCCAGAATAGAAAAACAATCTTTCCAACAAGAAACAATACGCTGAGTAAAGCAAATAGTCCAATCTTGGCTTTTGATAATTTATATACAGATACATTCGATAAACATGTATGGTTTTATATGTACAGGTACACCAACAGCAAAAAATGGCTCGAGCCTTATGTCAACGTCTCCTGGCTACGCAGACAAAAGGAAGCAGTTGGGGACAACAGTACAATTTGTGTTATTTGGGGGAATGGCTGTGCCATAATATTTTTCTAAGTACCAAGAAAAGCTGTTCTGAGTGAATTTTAAATAGGCTGATTATATACTATTAGAGAGCTTCATTTTAAACATCAGTGATAATCTCCTGCTAATCCTGAAATCAGTGCTGTGGAAGCAATCAAAATCAGCAACAGTCTGAACACTGGATGAGTGACAGACATTAAGCCGTTGAATGTTTTCAGTTACTGGGAAGAGAACATTGTTTATTACTTGTTACTCTTTCAAACTTCAACTGAAGCTTTTTCTCTTTTCCTAAATGATGCCTTCCTTCCAGCCCAGCTTTGCAACATCATCTTGGATCTTCTTCAGATTCTACAATCCTGACTTGGCTGCCTTTTGCTGACAAAAACCAAACCTCCTTCCTCCAAAAAATCTAAATCCCACCCACAACAAAAAATCCCTTAAACCCCAACACCCTAAAAGAAGGAGCAAGAGAAGGAGAGAAGAACAAGATAAGGAAAGTTGCAGGAGCTGCCTTGAGCCTGAGGTCAGAACTGAACTCTCTTCCAAGCTTTCCAGCTCCACTGAGTTACTGATGCCAACAAATGGGAGGTTTTGAATTACTGACTGCTTTTAGAGTGCCACTTCAATCACACCACACTGAAAATATTTATAAATATGACTTACAATAAAAGTTAGTAGAACATTGTATGTTAAATCAGAATAAACGAGAAGGACCTGTCACTGTTGTTAATGGTTTCATCATATATCACTCCCTTGATCAACAGTTGGTGAGAAAGGATTGGAAGGAAGGAAGAAAAAGATAGTAGTCCTATGGACTGATTTTATGCCTTCCAAATCACATATGACATACCCCCACATATGGATGCGAACTCACTCCTAGTCTCTGCAGAACTCAGTAGGAGCTGCCTTGCCTATCGCAAGCATTTGCAAACCTGTTTTTAATAAAACATTTGATTTTACTTCACTTTATTTAGTTCAACTTTTGCTCAGTTTTAGTCTGTCACTTTCTGGAGTGATTGGCTTTGTGTGCTCATGTGTAACTGAAACGTTACACCAACAGCTTTCAACCATTTACAAGGACACAGGCTCTACAGTAAGCAAGACTACGTACAGTGGTTAAAACAGCATCACTAACAGTTTAGCACTTTTAAGTGCAGCGACAGGAGGCCCTAGATAAAGCATTTCTGAACAATAAAATATCTGCTCCTGAACTCAGCTCTTAACAGAAGAGTAGAACTTGGTTTTCTTACTGTCGATATCTAACTGCAGAAAAAGATACTCAACAGACTCAGCTCCCCAGTTTATTCGAGGGCAAAACCAATGTTAAAACCTATTGAAAAGCAAAACAACAACCACAAAAAAAAACAAAAACCAACCCACACTCTTACCCCTTTCCTTCCACAACTTCCTGTCATTTTCTGGGAGAAAAGTCACCTTAATTTGAGCAACAGTGGCTATGGTTTGGTGGGTTCCTAGTATCTCCACAGGACTTGCTCGCTTGACAAAGCTTGCTCTAGGACTGATATAAAAAGAATCGGTGCTCCTATTCTGAAACCAGGTTCAATATACATGCATATGCACATGTATACAAACATGCATACACCCCCACCCACCCACCTCCCCAGGATATAGCTACCACTCCTTCCATTCATGGTATCTCTAGAGGTTACTATTTAACTTTTACTTATTTATTTAATGGAAGACCCTCTGCCACAGCCAGCATGCTTTGATGCGCTCTGAGAGAAGAGGTCTAAGATTCAACTCGCACAAAACTTCAAAATGTACTCTTACAATAAAGCAAAATGTAGACCTTCATAATTTCAGTTGATATTAAAATCAGGGGAACATAAAATGCATTTCTCTAACATTAAAAAGACCATCTCCGGAAAAACAAACTCCCTGGCGTAGTCTTGTTCTTGGGAGCATTCACATAACCACAGTTTGCAGAAACCAAAAGTTTGGGAAAAATTGAGTATTCATGCAAATGCAATTTTGAAGTTCAAATATTCATTTTCCAAATGTATCCGCATTTAGGAACTATGCTACCTGAAACCATGTTACCTGTTTTTTTTTACCCGACCGATCCCAATTAATCAACACAGCTCAGTAGCAAAAATTATACATCAAGCCACAAAGTTCAAGGACAAAAATCCACACAAAAAGATCAAATATTTGAACACAAGCAATGCATATGAGAAAATTGTAATCTACTGAAAAGAAGTCCAAGACCAGTAAGAGAGATTAGATGTGCTATGCACTGTATGAACTAAAAAGCAGCTGCTGACCTTTATCAAATGACATTATTTACACAGGTTTAAATAAACCCCATTTTCATGGTGATTTTAGGAACTAATTTAATTCTGCCAAGAATTTGGAGAAAATTAACATGACCCAATACACAGAGTAGGGACATAAAGTGAAGCCCCTGTTAATAATTGAACTATGAATACGGAGGGCATTGTTACCTTGGCACGCAAAGCCTCTTTCTTCATAGCCAGCATTACACAAGCACTTCCCTATGGGCACTAGCCATTCTCCTTCTGTACTGCAATACATCTTGGGCGGCTCTTCCTCCTTGGAATGATTGACACAAGAACCCCGCACCTCCACCAGTGACTGGGAGTCCATGGGTACTGTATCTGGAAACATGGCGAGGTTCTTGACAGTGAAAGGGCACTTTTTGAAGTACACTCGCACTGAGACTAAGGCAACGCACGCACCTACATCTTGAAAAGCCAAGTAAAAGCCTTTCCTGCTGACAGGCCCCACCTCACGGACTTCTGTATTCAGCTTTAGAATTCGGTCCCCAAGATCCATCTGGGTGAAGCTCTCATCAGCTGCAATGGTGTCGATCTTTGTAAACTGATGCTCTCTGAACTTTACCAAATGGTCATCATCAGACTCCATATAATACAGATTGAAAGTCTCTTTGCAAGTGCCCAGAACTAAGGGGATACTATTACAGTCCCGCAAGGTAAATTTGAGCTCCACGTATATCTTCTGAGCTGAATTGCGCGGAATCCAGTTTGTTCGCAGCCAATTGTTTTGACTGTGATCCATAACGTTGCACACCTGGTAAGTTCTGATTGGAGTATAATGCTCATCAACACCACTAATCTCTTCCCACTGGAACAAGAAAAAAAAAGGAAAACAGAGAAAAAAATGAAATATTTTAAGACCAATGATTACACCATTAAAAAAATTCACATTTAGAGTCAAAAGCTGTGGAAAAGCAAACATCACTTTGCTTGGAATCACTATAAAATAGACAAAGTCTGGGAGAGCTTTCACTTCTCTTTTTCCTATTAAACATACAAACATATTAAATGAATACAGAATTCACCATTAAGGAGTCAATCCTTACCAAGATATTTCAAGGTGGCATGAAAGAGATGCTACAGCTGTTTCACATTACTAAAAACCTGTGCTTTCTTAAATTACATGCAGTGCTGTCCTTTCAATCGTGATGCTATCATGTCTTTACAACCACACTCATGTCAAACAGAAGAGGTTTACTAGGACAACATCACGTTTTCGCTGTTAGAATCAAGTTGTATTTCAAAGATTTAACAAAATTTAACATCTTGCAAGCAAAAAGCCAAAGGCTCCCACCGAAATTTCAAATAGTCATAATAAAAGGTTAGTTTTAAATTGATTCAATGCATGACAATTGATTTTGCCTTGGTTGTATGTCCTTTGGACAAACAGTTGCCAGAGTTAATAAAAATTACCACCAACTCACTGTATCTTGGTTACCTAATTCTTCTGTGGACTATATAGGCTATGATGCTAGAACGATTTTTCATGTATACATACTCATTAGTTGTTTTCGCATCAGTCATAAGCTGATAAACTTACTCGGCCCAGACAAGGAAGGAATGGGTTTCCTTTTTGTGAATTACTCATGTACCAGTCCTACCTGATATCTGAAGTCACTCTTTCCAGAGAGGAATATTTACCAATCACACGAAAAAAGAAATCCTATAGGGATGCTTAAGGTAACTATTTACTGTTGGCCATGTACCATACAAAACTAAGTGACTTGAGATGCATCTTTCTTCACTTTTTCTCTTAATGGATAACTAGGACCAAAACAGTTTTGGTTCTTAGGGTCATCATTCTTCAGCTTTTATGCACACAAAAGCTGCAGCTGTTCTATTTTCCATGTCTTAAAACACAAACTGAGATGCCTCACCACTAAAGTGCTAGAACTTATGGCAATGAATAATGCCTTTATGGACTCACAATACTACTAAAGTTGAAAGACAGCCTTCCAGATCTTCTAGCCCACCCCCCTGCTCATGCAGGGTCAGCGAGAGCAGATTGCTCAGGATCCTGTTCAGTCTAGCTTTTGAATACCTCCAAGGATGGAGACTTCACAGCCTCCCTGGGCAGCTGTGCCAGTGTTTGCTTGTACTCAGATTAAAAACATTTGTCCTTACATTCAAATGGAATTTCCTGTATTTACGATTGCATCCATTGCCTCTTGGCCTTTCACTGGCACTGAAGAGTCAAGCTCCATATTCTCTATATCCTGCCATCAGGCATTTATGCACCTTGGTAACATCCCCTTCAGCCTTATCATCTTCTGTTCTATGCTTCAAAGTTAATTACACAAACAAAAGAGGCACAGTTCCTATCATGATAATGAAGCACATAATAGAGCACATGGTAGCACAGCAGCTAAAGAAATCCTTGCTCCGCTATCACCCATCTACACAGCCTCTACAAAAGACCACAAATGCTGCCCCATGCAACCAGATGCAGAGCAGCTGAGGAGTAGTAGGACTTCAAACAGAGCTGTTGCATGCTACAGAAACTAGAGATGCAAGGTAGATAAAATGAAGTATGTCATGAAAAAAAAATCACTGCCACTTTGGAGGGAGGGAGACAAAGAAGAATTTCTACCAGGAAAACACCTTCCCTCAAAAATCAGATCACATCAGTGTTATATTCAAGTTTTCAGCATAACAATTATTCATTTTACCTATGCAGGTGTATGTGATGCAGGACCTTGGTGTACTATTTCCACTATACTGACGAAGAAACTGAGGCACACAAGTGTAAACCTTCTCTACAGTTTCCTGATTTTACAATCATAGAATCACAGAATAGTTAGGGCTGGAAAGGACCTTAAGATCATCCAGTTCCAACCCCCATTGCCATAGGCAGGGACACCTCACCCTAAACCATGTCACCCAAGGCTCTGTCCAACCTGGCCTTGAACACTGCCAGGGATGGAGCATTCACAACCTCCTTGGGCAACCCATTCCAGTGCCTCACCACCCTAAACAATATGTGCATTGAAGACACACACACAAAGAAAGGGAAAACAAAGAAACAGCCACATCAGAGTAGCATCTGAGAGTTCTCAGTCTCACCCGACTTTAGGAAGTTTGATATGACTAAGAGCGGGTCTGCACAATGAAATTGTCCACAAACCACTGAAGATGTGATTTTAAATCATGTTATTAAACCAGCAGATAAAAAGCAGTATAAATTCTCTTCCTTTAATTGAAACAACGTTTATTTTAGTTCACTTTACAGATCTGACTATACACAAGTCTTATCTCTTCCTGACTAGTTCTACAGAGTTAAAAACACAATCTTGGATGTGTATACAGCAGCTGAAATGCTGCAGCAAGCCATAATATGCTACATTGCCAAAGAGAGCTAGCAGTACAGGGATGCTCTGACTCAAAGGTACTACACTTAGAACTCACAGCCACTTGAGAGCTTGAAGTCACATGGCAGCCCATCAAACAAGGACAAGCTCTTGCCTGCAAAAGAAGCAGCTGGACCCTGGCTCCCAGCCTCTGCCAAGTTCCCACAACTGAGTGGAGGACTCTCCTCTGACAGATGTCCTTGTACAAGCACGGCTCCTGAGCCAACAATCTAATGCTGTTGCAAAAAGCCATTCAGATGCTGTAATTGCCTCTCATGAAGCTGGATATACCTATTTAACTACAGGTATTACCTGAACAAAAATATTCAGTTACAACAACTGGATGAAATTGGATAAGGTTATATAACGGAACATCATTTTATGGACATTTAAAGCAGCTCACACCTATTCAGAAGTGATCTACTTATTATCTCTTCCATATAATTTCTAATCAGCTCAACAGATTTTAGATGTCCAGTGGGAGACAGAAACAAAACTTGCAGAATTTAAAGCATCCCCACGGCAGATGTTATTTTTCTGAACAAGTTCCATTGCAATGTTTTTCCCAGAAGTTTCTTATCCAAGATGCTCACACAGAGTTGAATACGGAGGCACGAGTTTCACGATAAAGGTAGCATCGCTGCTGCTATGTTCTTCACCTTGAGGTGACAACATGCAATTATCACTCCATTCATCTGCAATGAAGACAAAATTCCTTGGAAACAATTGTAATCCACGTACACAAACAACAACATTTCAAGTCTATCATTTAATGCCGAGGTATTGCTGAATGGAAGCACACCAGTCCCACACCACCATCGCTGATGGGCTCAGCCAGGTCCATCTTTGAGCTGGCTGGCACTGGCTCTGTCAGGCACGGGAAGCTTCTGACAGCTTCTCAAAGAAGCCACCCCTGTAGCCCCCCTGTTATTAAAACCTTGTCACACAAACCCAGTGCAATACGCTAGCTTTACAGAGAAGTACTGGCACAAAAACACGCTGGCTATTAAGAGGATAAGAGGCAATGGGAAGCAAACCCCTTGTGTGGCATTGCCAAGCAGCCTATTCAGTATTACAGTATTCAGTGCAGTTTTACTTGGCGCAGGCAAACAGCTAGCTGCAATAACAGAACAAGGTAGGAGATCAAAAGTAAAGGAAGAGATATATAAACAGGACTAAGTATGGGATAAATCCTATTTCCAAATTTTAGAGGAAAAGCAGAAAAAAATCTGTGATATTCCTTATAACAGAAGATATAGATATTTCTTACAACAAAAGCTACAGAGAAGGTGCCCTTACTGTAGGGAACAAAAGAGATTCTTCTTCTCATTACTGTGTATCTAAGATACTTTAAACACATAAGGAAAATTCTGACCTGCTGGAAGGTAGGGATAAATCAACTAAAAGAGGAGTTCAGAGTTACTATGTTGTAATTAAAATGAGTCTTCGTATCTTAGGATACATAAAGTATAGCATTTTTAGTATGCAAAAACCTAGTCGAACAGGGCGAAAGGCAGGTAGCTATAATAAATAACAGGAGACTGAAAAGTCGTGAGGAAGAATTCAGCCAAAATGGAATTTAGACAACAAAATGCAAAGAGAATAATGCAACAATGATATGAGATGCACGAAAAGAAAATTTCAGCTGCAAGGCAGATACTTACTTTACATAGGCCAAACAGATAGGTGAAAGGGACATGCTTCTTTTCACCTTACACATTGAGTCCAATTGCTGCTGCTTCCTTATGCTGCTGCACTTTCAGCTTCCCTTCCTCCCACCTTCAGCTTCCCAAAACTATTCCCATCCCATGGAAAACTAGCATGGTGCAGGAGGGTATTTTCTACTGAATCAATTCTAAAGAGTACATCATGCAACCACTAGCATTTCTGCAGGAGCAAGAACATAACGCAATGGCCAAGAAAGCATCCAGCAAGAAAGTATGGGCACCCAAACTCAGTTACCTTGGAAACCCACCTGGAACTCAGAAAAACTATTTCTGAGGATACTGCATTTTCCCATATAAAATTTCATCCTATTGAAGGTTTGCTAAGCGAAAATAACAACAGTGCAAGGTTTTATCCCCCAGATAGATGGAAAAGATAAAGCAGAAGGTATCAGAAGAATAAGCAGAAAGATGAAGGGAAAGCTGTCAGACAAGACTACACAGCTGTGACAGCAAAGAAATGCTGCAGAAAATGTGTGCACACGGGTTGGTAAGACCTAGAGAAGTTTGGTAAGACCTAGAGAAGGTTACCTGAGCCAAGAAAGAAGGAAGTGGCCCTATCCAATACTGAGGTGGGAGGCTGAGAACTTAAAGGAAAACCTGTTGGGATGCTGGCAGAACAACTTCATGAAAGATCTGTACTTATACTGCATAAATCAGACACTGATGGGACTCAAACCTAATTCTCACCTCGATTACATGCAATTACTTGAGTAACTCTGGTCCATGGGGCATTA